GTAAAGATTTGATCTGATTCACATTTGCCTTTCAATGTATAGGACAAAGGTGACTTTAAAGCAATAGTAGGTGGCATTACGATGTTCTTAGTAGCATAATAAGGTGGTCCCCAGGGAAAGGGGAGATTCCAGGTCCCCTGCCCCACCCAAGGAAGGGTGGAGCTGAGCAGGGAGGAGAAGAAGCTGGAGATGAGATGGATGGAGATTAAGGAGGAGATCTGGAGGCAGCCCATGTAGCAGAGATGTGAAGAAACTGTGCTTGCTTCCTGATCTTGGGCTGGTTGAACAAATGTTGCTGAAGAGACCCTTGGAAATCTTAAAAATGGCAGCTTTTACCTTGATTGATTTTGCTCTTTAGACTTGTCTGGCCCCTTAGCCATTTTCCTATGGGTCCCCTGCAGGAGGTACCTTAGAACTTGTGGGAGGCTTTCAGGTCTCAGTAGTCCTGCTTTGGGCCAATCTTGTTTGTCTGAGCCATACCCACAAGGGGAAGGGTCACTTTGGGTGCTTTTCTTCCTCTTTGTTGCACCCTAATTATATTAAAATTCCTTTACATTAAAGGTCTTATATACTAGACTGCATTGTCCTGATGCAGCCAGTGGCAGAAACTATATTTTGAGTGGGAGGTTTGGGGGCATCTGGGCTGCCCCTCATCCTGTCCTGTAACAGTAGAAGTTCTATGTACATATTTGAGCTAGTGCTTTTTCTTTCAAGTGGACGTTAGTAATCAGATGGATTTTTCCATCTGAGGAAAGTACCTTAGGAAATAAGACAGTCACACATACACAGAACATTAAAACTGTGAATCAGAGGTAGGTAGACATTACAGTGTACAGCGACAGGCGAGACAACCAGAGAACTTGTGACTCAATCCAGACCTTGAAGTATATAAGTAATGTGAGTAAAGTCAGAGAAGATGGAGAGGATGTTCAAATGCAGACTGGGATGAGCAACATTGGAGATGGGCTGGCAGATGGAATGATGAAAGTAGGAGATGGCAAGTCACAGTGGCAGCAGCAAGAGGTGCCTGTCTTCTTTCACTGACACTTTTGAAAGTTAAATCCATGAAGTTCCTGCTGCTGTTTATCCCTGCCTGTGGCATTTGAATTCTTCTTGTCTTTCAGATGATACTTTTTAAAAGTTCTGAGGTTCCCATTTACCCCTTGCAAATAAATATAGTCAGTGTTTGTCCGTACTCATCTTTCAAAAAATGTTACTTGATTTCTAAAAATCCAACACATAATTCTCAAAGCACAATAAAAAATTATTTTCTCCCTTACTTTGGTACCTCACCTTTGTGGAAAGTATTCATTTAATGCATTCATTCAGTAAATGAGTGCTTACTATGTGGCAGCATTGTTCCAGAGATTATATACCTATGTGACACATGGCAGTGGAGATAAATTCCCATTCTTATGGGATTCATTGCTCTGTGCTGGAAGGAAAACTGATAAGTAAATCAGAAGGAAAGGAATTCTGTTCAGCTAAGGAGCAGATGTAGTAGTGGATCTGAGAGACAGGAATGTTCTGTGTGTTGACGGAAAAGATAAGAATCACAGGATTCTTGAAATCCTATAGAAAAAGTGTGAGGTGGGAGGCATGTGGTAAGGGAGGACAAATTTATAAGCCCTTTATTCTGGGTGGGGTTGGAAACCAAAGGAGGGTGGGAGAGGAAGAATGGTGAGGTGATTTACATTTCAACAGAATCACTTCAGCAATTGAATGTGAAATGACAAGACTGGAGAAGGAACACCAGTTAGCTGCTTGAACAGAGGTGTTTGGTTTACAGGCTGCTGGATTCTGGGTTTATAATATAGAGCTGGCAGAACTTGTCCATGGATTAGATTGTAAGTATGTGTGTGAGACAGAATTTTTGGCGCAAATAACTGAAGAATTGTGATTTACTGAGTTGGGAAGACTTGGAAAGGAAAAAGTTTGGTTTGGAGAAACGAGGGGAAGGAAACTGAAGTTAAATTAAATTTGAGATCTAGTTACTAAGGCCTTGTCAAGAAGGCCTTAGGTTTAGAAATCTGGAGTAAAAGAGGAGGGTCATATTGAATTTTGGTGTTCAGATTTTCTTTATATAAAATAAGGTTTGTTATAATTATTGAAATACTTTATGCAGTTCATTTCTGCTGCTATTGGAAAGGTTTTTTCCTTTCATTATACTGTCTACGTCTTGTTTTATTTTTTTTTATGCAGAACAATTAACTTTAGTGTGTTATACCAACTCACTTTACTATATTCTGTTATTTATAAAAGTCTTCTTTATTCTGTTATTTATAAAAGTCTTCTTATTGATTGATTAATTTCTTATTTCTTTTGACTTCTCTTTGGAAGTTTACCAACTCTTCAATCCTTTTTCTTAAAGAATTACATATTTGGATACAAGGACTGGCATACAGGCCAGAGGTGGTGTGTAGTGGGGTGTGTGGGGGGGGAAGGTTGGGTGAGAGGACTCACCAGAGACAGAATGGGGAGCAGAACTGGCAGATTGACTGAAATATACTGCTGAGGGGAGCAGCAGCAGCAGTGAGTGAGACAGAAGAGGTTTGCCACACCATGTGGGTCACTTCCAACTGAGATGTGCCTTCAGAAAACATTTCTACATTCTGGATTCTTAGTTTCTCTCCCTATGAACTTCAGCCATAGTAACTTTATACCTGTATCAAAGCAATGTCAATGTGAATATTGGTCCTTTTGAAATACAAAACCTAAGTAGGAACTAGGTCTCATTATCTTTATATCCTCAATGTTTAAGTGAATGTTCTATGTGACTGTTTAATGCTTTTATTGAACACAAGAGCGGTCAAATTCTGCCACTTAAAATTTTTTAAATTAGGGGCCCTCGGTGGCACAGCGGGTAAAAGCACAGCACTAAGAAGCTAAAGCCACTTCAGCATGAGTTCAGTCCCTGCCCCAGTGATCCCCATGGTGCTGCAGACCTCTCCTGACCTGCCTGCTGCTCCCCTCAGTGGTGTACTTTGTTAGTGGGCCTCTTCTGCTGCCCACTCTGTCTCTGGTGGATCCTCTCACTGCCATTGCACTTCTGGTTTGTATCCCAGTTCTGTATGCATAAGTAAATCTTTAAAAAAACAAATAAAAAAAAAACTGCTACTTTATTTAAAAAAAAATTTTTTTTAAAGATTTAGTTATTTATTCATACAGAACTGGGTACAGGCCAGAGATGCGGAGGGTGAGAGGATTCACCAGGGACAGAGTGGGGAGCAGAACAGGCAAATTGACAAAGTACACTGCTGAGGGGAACAGCGGGTGGGTCAGGAGAGGTCTGCCACGCCATGTGGTCACCTCCGGGGCAGGCCAGGGTCAAACTCATGCGGAAGTGGCTTAAGCTGCGCCACCAGGGAGGGCCTAAAAAAATTTTTTTTTAAATTTTTTTCCATACAGACTTTTTAAACTTGTCACAGGTTATAATTTAAAAATTCATTTTTAACTATTATAAATATTTTCTAAAGTACAATATATTTTTGTATTTTGCTCATAAAAATTAAAGAGCTGGGCCCTCCCTGGTGGTACAGCTGGTTAAAGCACAGCACTAAGAAGCTAACGCCACTTCTGCATGAGTTTGATCCCAGCCACAGAAGTGATCCACATGGCACCGAAGACTTCTCCTGGCCCGCCCACTGCTCCCCTCAGCAGTGTACTTGTTCTATCTGCCTCCCCACTCTGTCTCTGGTGAAGCCTCTCACTGCCCCTGAGCCTCTGGCCTGTACCCCAGTTCTGTATGCACAAATAAATAAATCTTAAAAAAAGAAGAAAAAAAATAAAGAGCTATTTTAGAAGATTATAATACAATGTAGAAACTTCTTTTTTTCATAATGCCAAGTGCAGAAAAGTGCTTGAATTTGTAAGACTTTTAATTTTGAAAATACTGAATGGGTAGATGTTGCTTATTTACTTACAAAGTAACCCTTTTTTCTTGTTTGGCTTTATTTAGTTTTTACCACAGAAATGAAGAGGGAGCATAATTAAAATTTTTATTTTTCTGAATGGAAGCAATGGTATTCTTTCAAGTCATCAGCCTTTCATAATGTTAACATTTCCAAGAGCTCTAATTTGCACTGCTTTAAAAAAAAAAAAAAGCACATGTCATTACTTGTTTCTTTCTTTTTTTTTTTTTTCAATCCATCAAATCAATAAATTGAAGCATAGTAGAAATACAGCATGCTTCCACCTTGTAGGGACTTAGAAATGCAGGCCCACAAATGGAACAGGTATCCAAAAGAATGTGTATTTATGGAATCTGTACCCCTTAAGAATGTGTATTTATGGAATCTGTACTCCTTAAGGGAAGAATAGAGAGAATGTTAGAGTTAGAACTTATAGATCTGAAGTAAGTAAAATGAGAGGCACAAAGGTAAGAGTTACTATAAGGTACGGGGATGAGATATTTATCTTGATACAGTAAGAATTTACATTTCGTTATCTCATCAAAGAAAACAAGTCATAATTGAACTTAATGGAGGCAAATATCAAACTTCTTTTATCATAAAGGGGTGTGGGCATATTCGATTGAGAAAAATAATTGACTAAAAAAGAGCGAAAAAATTCCTTAATTCTATCATCCCTAGATGTTAATGTTTTAATATATATTTAACTCTTAATGTTTTGATATATGTTTTGATATATATTTTTTCTAGTTGTGAAAGCATATACACAGTTTGCTTTTTTTTTTTTTTAAGATTTATTATTTATTTGGACATACATAACTGGGGTACAGGCCAGAGGTGCAGGGGTGGTGAGAGGCTTCACCAGAGACAGAGCAGGGAGCAGAATAGGCAGGCAGATGGATGAAGTGCACTGCTGAGGGGAGCAGCGGGCGGGAGGTCTGCTGCGCCATGTGGGTCACCTCCGGAGCAGGGGATCGAACCTGCACTGAGGCTGCTGCGTCTTGCTTGCAGTGCTGGGTCCTAACCCATTGCGCCATCAGGGAGGGCCCTAAAATGTATATTATTTTTAATGTTTTGTCTTTATTTTAGGAAAAAAACAAAAGCCAAGGCACCACTTCCTCCAGCTGAGAACAAATGTGTTGATGTCACTTCTGTTGATGATTCTGTAGAATCATCTGCTTTCATCATGGATCAGAAAGAAAACCTGATAGATAAAGACATTGAACTCTCAGTAGTTCTACCTGGGGATATTATCAAATCTACTACAGTTCATGGCAGGTATGATGGAGCAAATGAAATACCAGAATTTTCCTTTTTTTCTTGTGTCATTGAAATCCTCTGTTCTTCCTTTCTTGAACTTTTTCTCTGACAAAACATGTTATCATTCAGTTATCTGTTTAAACAATGCTAAAAGGTACTTAAATTTTTCTATCATGTCTTAATACCATTACAATGAATTCCACACCTCCAGCTAAGCCATGCTTGAAATTAGGCCCATTTTACATTTTGTTAATTTCTTAATTTTTTAAAAAAAGTTATTTGTCAGCAGAATGTTTATTATGTTGATTTTGTAAGTCAGACTTCCTAAATAAGGCAGTATAGCCTATGAAAAAATCCTTACCTTTCCTCTCCAAGCTACTCTTTCTTTTGTAAGTTATTTCTGTGAATTTGATTTTGTAGAAGTTACAAAATGCTGTTAAAAACTAATTCTTATCAAAATTAAATAAAGCTATTTGTAAAATTGGGTTTAATTAATGAAATGTGAATAATTTAATAGAAATGTCAAGTAAACTTTAACCTAACAAAAGTGAAGATATGATTTAAGAGAATTATTTTCAATACCTACATAAAAATTAGAAAATTGGAATAAAGCCAAATGTAACTTTCCATTTCATTTTGAAGTGGAAAGTTACATGAGTCGTATGTTTGGTTTTGTTTCACCTTTCATCATCAACCAGTCTTTTGTTATCAAGTCACCTGTTTTAGAAATTTAAGCTGTTTTGACTTTAGTGCAGTGTATGTGCACAGAACAAAAGAATACGTTAGGCAAGCAAAATATGGGTATTGTGTTCTCACAATGAAGAAATTCATTAATATAATTTTAATGTCCTCAAGATTATTGTAAATTTATGAATTATTCTAGTACATGAGAATAGAAATTTTTAGCAATAGCAAACAAAATATATAATATTGTATATTAAAGGGTTAGTAAATTAATTTGAGTAAATAACATTTTGTCATTTATTTGATGCTTAGTTTTAGAGATCACACATTGAACTTTTTGATGAATTTGAGAAACTTGAGATTGTCCTAATTCCCTGCCTTGCACCTTACATATAGGTCATCACCAGGGAGGTGCCCCTTCTGAGTAAGAAAGGCATGTTATAAGTTAAGAACATTAGTCATCATCTTCAATCCTTGAAGTAATAATACTATTAACCTGGTTTTAAAATAGTGATAACAATGATCTGGCAGGATATGATAAAGCCAATTCCTTTTATTTTCCCTGAATTCAAAGCAATTTTTTAAAAGTCACTATCTGCCCTCCCTGGTGGCGCAGCGGGTTAAAGCACAGCACTGAGAAGCTTAAGCCACTTCTGCATGAGTTCCATTCCTGTCTGCTCATGGGTGACCACACGGTGCGGCAGACCTCTCCTGACCGCCCGCTACTCCCCTCAGCAGTGTACTTCATAGATCTGCCTGTTCTGCTTCCCACTCTGTCTCTGAGCTTCTGGCCTGTACCCCAGCTCTGTATGCACAAATAAATAAATCTTTAAAAAAATAAAAATAAAAAAAAGTCACTATCTTCCCCAGTTCTTCACTAGTGCTGACAAGTGGCCTGCTTTCATCATCAGTGCCCCCAGAAATGTTTCCCGGGCAGGCTAGTCACTGCTTTGTATTATAGTCATCTCTAACAGCTGTTTTGATTTTTTAAATTTTATTCTGTTCTCTTAACACTGCAGTCTACTTCCCCTTTCTACCAGGATACTGGTGTCTTATCACTTTGAAACTGTTTCTTTCTGAAATCTTAGGCTCCCTCTTGAGCACAACCTTTTGATATTAACTTAACCTATTTGGTTCTTTCTTAATTGAATTTGTTCCTCATCCTCCTTATAAAGTCTAATGACTGCTGTTTAGATAGCTGCATTTTTTTTTTCATATTTAAGTTGACATTTGCTTTGATTATTTGCAATTGCAGAGACCCTAGATTTTTCTCATTCTTTGGGTCTTCAAGCATGTTTCACCCCAATTCCTAAGCTGAGTAATTTCTCCATCAATCAGCCTTTTATTTCTGTGCTACCAACTGGTATTGAATTGCCTCATCTTCTTATCCATGAGCATGTTTTATAACTGACTTGTTAGGATTAAATGAAATACTGCCAGGGCCTGGCACACGATGGCCCATTTTCTTATTCCATTTTCTTATCCTGGGCTCTCGCCATTTACCCTCCACCCTCAGATTAATCTGTCTAAAACACCACTCTGTGTTGCTACCTTTGATAAGAGACTGCAGGGACTGCAATTTGATACCAAGTTAGGGAATTCCAAACTACCACACCTAGAGATTGGGACAACTTGTTTTCTTCTCCTCTTTTAGTAGGATTTTTCTTTACTGTTTCTCTGTATATTTTAAGCTTCAGCTCCATATTCTGCATTTTCTACCTCTACACCTTTATGAAAGTTTTTCTATCTAACATATACATTTCCAGCCATATTTTCTCCAGTTTATGTAGGGCAGTTGTCATTTTTCATAAAAAGACTCCTTGATCTCCCTTGAGTGATCTGTTAACTCTGACTTTCTGACTCTTTATACCATTTGGTGGTTATTACAGTTGTCCTGTGTTATAATTTATATGCACTTCTTGTCTTTTTTGGATCAACCATAAGATTCATGAGGACATTACTTTTCTCTGTAGTGTTTAGCACAGTTTCTTGTAGTATAGTAGGCATTTAATAAATTCATCAAAATAAATATTGTCTCCCTATGTAAACTTAAATGTTGATAGAGGTAGCGGTTCACATGGTGTGCTTTGAGGAAGGCATATGGGTAGACACTAGCTGTTTTCCCAAGATTTTAAAAATAAAAATATTTTATCCAGGTGGAGAACAAGGCACCAAAAAAAAAAAAAAAA